AACCACGCTTGCAGTCGATGAAGATTGTTTTGGAGGGTTCTCTGGTCGTTAGGACTCTTAATGACTTGCCAGAGCTCAACATCGTCTGCAAACATTATTTTGCCGCAGTCAAGTTCCCGAAGGCTGTCGTTAACATAAAGGATGCAGAGCAATGGTCCCAGAACTGAGCCTTGAGGCACACCACTGGTCACGTTCACCCATTCTGACATATCATCACCGATACAGACACGTTGTTTACGACCAACCAGAAACGCCCCTATCCAGTTCAGAAGATCTCCACGGATGCCGATGGCGCTCAATTTGTGAAGAAGACGTTGGTGCGGAACAGTATCGAAAGCTTTGCGGAAATCAATGTGCACGACATCGACCTCAAAACCCTCTTCTAGAGCCCTGGTCCAGATCTCCATACAAGCTAGCAGATTTGAGAGGCAGGAGCGTCTTCTACGGAAGCCATGTTGAAAATCCTGCAAGGTGTTATTTTCTTCACAAAACTGCTGTATAGCGCTCTTTACTATAACTTCCATCGTTTTGTAAGGAAGGCAAGTTAAGCTAATAGGCCTAAAGCTGCTTACTGTCATCCTGCTACCTCCCTTATGCAATGGAACGAGGTTAGCTGTCTTCCACAGTGAGGGCAGCCTTCCTGTTCTCATTGACAGCTCAAAGAGAGTCGAAAGAGGCTTTGACAGCTCCGTTGATAGCTCCTTAAGTATTAGTCCGGGAATTCCGTGGGGTCCAGGAGACTTATCAGGTTTTATTTGACTGAGGAGGCGTCTGACTTCCTCGACGGAAAAGGCCACGGTTTCAATGACGGCAATATCTTGGCGCATTTGAAGCTCCTGGCTGTCTCGGTCCATTTCAAACTGCTGACTGTCTTCTAAGGACTCCTCCGTAAAACCCGATTGAAAAAACTGAGACAGTAATCGCACTTTCTGTGGCCCTTCAACTAATAAGTTTCCGAGGCCATCCTTAAGACACGCAATTTCGTCCCTATGTTTCCTCCTACTGCGGATGTACCCGTAAAACTTCTTGGGACATGTAACGGATTCTGCTATCAGTCGGCGCTCGAAAGAAGTTCTAGCAACCCGTATTTGTTTGCGGCATTTATTGCGCTGATCCTTATATTCGGCGAATGACCTTGGATCTCGAAGTTGCAAATACTTTTTCCACAATCTCCGTTTCTTCTTCGTGGTCTTTTTTGTCGTCGGATTGACCCACGGCGGTCGCGAACATGGTCTTGTCATTTTTATTGGACAATGGGAAACAATTAGACGCTCTATAATCCCGCGAAAGTACTGCCAAAATTCGTCTGAATCTTCTGTGTTGACCAACCAGGTTTCCTCCAAAAGAGTGCGTCTCATTGCGTTAAAGTCACCCTTCCAAATATTTCTGCGCCCCTTGATTTTTGGTTGTTAGTTAGATAGGAGAGAGCACACGCAGGTCAAAGCAATATGATCGCTTAAACCGAGTGGAGGTTGTGGACTCACTTCCCTTATGAGTCCTTCTTCTTTACTTAAAACGAGATCTAAATAGTTAGATCGTTGTCCTTCTCTCATTCTTGTTCCGAATTTTATGTGTTGAATGAGGTATTCATTCACTGGGTTTTTTACAGAAGATCTGGAATGTAGGATGAGTGGTCGAGTTCAACCCTTGAGACTCACTCCGAATTTGTCCCATAATTATGGGCTCGTTTAAATTATTTCAGCCCAGATACTTTTGCCGTACACCGCATCCCAATTTCCCGTTGCAAGCATGGCACACGCAGGTCCACGTCTATTTCTCTCAGGTTACTTACATAAACTGTACTACGCACCCAGGCAGCTAAATCCGCAACTTCAATGCTGCACACCATCAAGCATTTGTTCAGTTTTCATGAGAGAATGCTTCTCCAAATTTTTCGGTGCGTACGTAAGGCAGCATCTTGAATACGCGATCCAGGCTGAACGGAGACCCGCGATTTTCAGGAAAAATCTTCATTCGACCTCTCAGCCCTATATGCTCATAATCTTCCTTACTCATGAATACCGCTCGCTTGGAGTACGATACCCTTGAAGTATCCGCGCTTCAGCAAGTAGGTCGGATAAGACCGTTTCGAAGATGTCTAGAAGACACCGGAGGCGAGAATGGGCCAGGTTCGACTGCGTGGACTACTGCTTCAACCTCTCCCGAGCGGAGGTCTGGGACATTGAGCCATCCTTACTATCCTCCCCGGTCGGTAAAATGTTACCTTAGTGACTTTCAGTTGACGACACCGATGTGCAACATTTGTTTTCCTAGATATTTGACGGAGCAATATCCTCAGATGATAAATCCGAAGTCTTTTCTCTCGTTTAAAACATCCACACATATCTTTGTCTATTTTTCGGCAGACTGTCTCTACATTATGTTCAATCCGTACTTTGCCTGTCGTCTTCGATACCCGCTCGAACATTCTGCAGATCCAATAAAAAATTAAACAGGAATATTAAACACAAGAGTAAAGTATAGGCAGTTGCGGAATCAGGTGCGCGTACTTCACGACAAAACAACAGGTTACGACAGTCTTTGCGCGTGCGAACATCCAAGATAAAAACGCCGACCGGTCACGCGAAAGTGTTAAAACACGGATGACAAGTGATGTGACACCGCACCTAGCTCGACATTTTCAGGTACGCAGTCGATTGCTATAAGTGGATGCTGTCGAACAGGTCGGTGTTCCTTCATACCCCCTTCACATACGTGAAGGAGGGCTTCAGGAAGGGCCACAGTTGTTCTTAAAAAATTTAAGAAGTAACAAAAATAAATATTGAACTAACTAGCAAAGTACATGAGAGCCTGGGGAACCATCGGAATCAGAGAAAGGGCTCATGAGCAAGAGGATGCCGCCGGCGGAGGCGGGTAGAAACTGTTTTTGGCTCAAAATGTGCACTGACTGCTGCAACTGATGCCTAATGCTTCGTCAAAGAAAGTAACCATTGACAGTAATCATTGAATGGAAAGGGTTTATACTGGTCGAAGCAGCTGGATGTTCTCGGTACTCGAACATGGAAACCGCGAGTTTACGCCTTGTCAGGTACCGAACTGTGCTTACTTGTTGATGACAATCAACTACCAATAGAAGCGAAGAGCCGAGTCCCAGGAAGTAGTCTTGAAGAAGGCGACAGGATCGCCGGGACAAGAGCTTTATTAGCCTGACGTTTCGGATTTCTACTCGAATCCATCATCAGAGACAAAAGAGCAGAAACGGGTGGTTGTTGCACAAGGGGCTGCGGTATTTATAGGATGCAGTAGCCATGCTACCGCATACCTATGAACGTTCACGGCTCCCCCCTTCATCCGGGATTGTCGCACAAACTACGTTTGTCAATTTCACTATGTTGAACCGATCAACAGGCGGTTTATCACCTAATAATAAAATTGCGACCATACTTAAAAGCAACTCCGCTAACCACTGGACCGGACTTGCGGAGTTAGCTTAGAGACGAAGAACTTTTGCCGATCTCTTGCCGCGTCATGAAGCCGACTACAACTTTGGCTTCATTAGAAAGTAATGAGCGCTAGAGACGCGACTACATAGACTTTTGGCTTCTACAAGCTGAGCATTCAGTTTCCGATTTGATTGCTGAGTGGACTTCCCAATCACATACCAGGTTGCACAGTCAACTAAAAAAGGACGCAACCTCATCACCTAAAATTCAGACAGTCAGGAATTTTTAGTTCTACGAAGACAACCCGGAGCTGAATTTCAAAAATCCGGACTGGATGAATGCATCAAAAGCAGTAGGTTAGCACAACGAAAACCTAGGAACCATAACAACTATGCAGAAACGCAGAGCCGAACTAACAAGCCTCAAGATAAATCGGCGTCTCTACTTGCCTTGAGGCACAGGGCCAGACCCTTCACGGTTCACAGTCGGGACAGATAGGTTAACGTCGCCGCCCACATGCCTTAAATAGCTCTCATTTTAGTCCACAGGGGATGACGCCATGATTCAATGATAAAGCGTCTGCCCCGTAACTATTTGAGACAGGGTCCTCCGTATTTTGGGTCGAGCGAGTGAGCCATAATCGACAAGTCGTCACCCTTTTCTTTGCTGGTAATACCACTCAAATATCGACGGTTAGTCAGAGTCACCAACCCACGTTAAAACTGAGGACTCTTCAGCAACGTCAGCCTGCCTATTTCTCAAAACTGAGCAATTTTAAAGCATTTAGGCAAAGTTAAACGACACACATTGGAGGGAGCAACTATGGAAGGAACCTCACCGTTCGAAAAATATATATAAGGTTGGAGTGATTCCGTGAATATGCATACGATACAGCCAACACGAAACTACGGTGCCAAGACACAGGTAGAGAATGACACATAAAGCTGCCAACAGAGTACGGACTAGGGAGTGCCCTGAATGGGGGTCAGTGGACGTTATCGTTGCGTAGAGCCGGCATGCCGCGTGTGATGGCCAGCCTGGCGATACTTTCACTGGTTAGTCCTTAGCAGTAGTTGTTTCTTCAGCGACAAATGCGAAGTTGGAGTTAGCCTAATAACGTGTTGGCGACCACCAATTACTCCCATTCTTCGGCATCCCTCAGCTGCTTTAATGGGCCTTCCGTACTTCGAGACAAGTTGGCGAAGCACGACATTTCGTCAAAAATATACAGAACATCCCACAAATAAAGGGTTAGGTTTAGGAGTTCAGCGAAGGGTGTACACAGTGCGTGCGACGCCCACTACACTTAACTGTCTTCTGAGAAAGGCGTTCTTCGTAGACAGAAGCCAAGTACATCCTCCATGGGCCCCCATCACCAGAAAGTGTGTAACTAGCCCCCCTGCACCATACATGCAAAGGTTGATATAACGAACAATGAACGAATTTCGGAGTGGAAGGGAGGAGGACTTTATTGAATAAGGCACTTGCCAACGGCAAAACTAAGGATCAGTTGGAAGGCGGGGGCCCATAATGCTCACCCTATTCACAGCTTTGGCGAGAAGGCATAGAGTTTCTAGTTTACAGAACAACCCGAGGCTACGCGTGAGGATGAATGCAGCGCGTCGGGGCGTGGACGTTGACCTCGAGCGTGTCGCACATGCTCTGGGTCCAGGGCAGGCAGTTGAGGTACTTGCACCAGGCGCAACTTGTGAGTGGACAGTGAAGAAAGACAACCAGTAGGGTGATGAAGAGTGCAACCCAAAGGAGGCTGCAGCAAAGAACAACCTTTAGTCGACGCCGTTTCATGCGACGTAACAGATCTTCCAATTGGGCAGCACTGTACTCTGATTGGACGGTGGCGTTAAAAGTTGCAGGCAGAGAGATAAGTCTTCTCTTTCTTGTCGTAGACTCATCCGTGGCGGGGGGCCCCGAGGGCAGTTTGGCGCAACCAAAGCCGAGATAGGGTACAAATACGTAGGAAAGGAGAACTCCAGAGATAAAGCCTGAGACGTGGGCGTAGTTGTCTAGCCAAGGTAGGAAGCCCACAAAGAGAACTCCAAGGATGGACAGAACTTGCTGCAGAATGGCCGTCCAGGGAGAGGCAAAAATGTCGTGAGTCTGAAGATAGTCCACAAAGACAACGCCAAAAAGGGCGAAATGAGCACCCGTGGGTCCAGTATGAACCTAAAACAACCACAGAGTGAGCTACCTGAGGAGGGCTGGGCAGATGGATAACGAAATTTGAAACAAAAAACATTGAAATAAGTGGAATCAGCAGGACGTGAAAAGATGCCAAAACGAGTGACGGCCAGAACCGACATCAACTACAGATTTTAATCAAAGGATAAAATAGACTACTATGTCGTCAACTAGTAGTTTTTTTGAATTTCGCCCATGAGGTTAAAGATTCAGTTGAATGGGCAGTCTTTAATGTATAAAATATACGGAAGCAAGAGGGGAAGATAAACACGTAAGTGCACAGGAAGACAGACACGTACATGGTAGGGAAGCATAATGCCCGAGGCCAGACTGGAGAAGCAACCCGAGAGGATGTAGATCAACGCGACTCGTAGCCAACCCAGCAGTTTTTCCAGATTTCGCATGAGTAGCAGCTGAATAATTAGTGATAAGGCCAGATGGATAACCCTAGAAGGGGCCGGGAAGCAGAAGGGAGGAAAAGCAGAGGGCTGTGAAGTACATGTCTTGGATTCTGGCATCCTGCGGTGAGGTGAGGCTCGAATTACTTGGAAAGCTCAGTGCGGAGAAATCTTAAATGCTATCACAAATACAATTAAGGCAAGTTCAAAGACAACCAACTGTCAGAACTAATTGGCACTAACATGGCAGCTCGGCTACGGGAAGCGATGAGACCTATCACCGTTTCGGGGACACGCTGACGAGTTGTGCGCGAAATGGCTTATAATGAGGCAATCTTAAACTGCATTCTCCTCCTTCCACATCCACGGGCGCGGTGGTCAACATGGTGCAAACGTTTCTTTCCTGGGCGCACACATGCTGATTCCACACATTCCATACAAGCTAAACCCCATCGAAGGACAGATCGTGGTGGGCAGGCTCGCATTCAATGTTTTGGACGTCGGTGCAACCATGGCCAGTTGCATCCCACGACTGCTGCATGAATAAAGCGTGAAGATTCGTTGATCAATGATGTGCATGCATACGTATATGTTGCATTGACTTTCCATGGCCATATAGATCACTGGGTAGTAAATCACGCCTTCAACTTTTTTACTAAAAGGGTATGTAGCATTTTTCAAGGGGTTTTAGTTCCCGAATAATTTCGAGCTCTGCGTGCAGGCTCCCTTGCGTTTAGTTTTCAAACTAGAAGATGCGCGCTGTTTATTCAGAGAAAAGCACTAATTACTTCACAATTCACCATAAATAGTTCACAAAATTGCGCAAAGAAGGTAAACTACGTTGAATACTTCACATAGAACCTTAGTAAACGTACGGATATGGCATTACTTGAATAAACACTTGATAATCTTAACCTCGCAAATAAAAATTTTCTCTCGATAGAAAGCTACCCTTTCTTCGAGTAAGAATTGTAAAGACTAAGGTACCAGAAAATGTGTACAAGAAAGGACAATTTTGTATGCTTTCCCATAAAATGCTTGGGTTTATAAGGACAGCGAAAACAGACGGGAAAATTTGCACTACTCATTTAAGTATTCTTCTTCGACGGGTGCGATTTTCGAAGGCGCCAAAGCGACGAGCATTAAAAAGCCGGCATTCTGGAGTGATTGGAATATCTTGGGATCATGCCTATGATAATCATGAGCACAACGCCACCTAAGTGGTCCTTTCTACTTGAAATCATATTTCAGAATTTCAATCGACGCCTTATGAAACGGGCCGTCTATTGTGTAAGACGCAATATATCCATGCATTGTCTGGTCATGTTTAGAGATTGTAGTGGTACAAAGTGGATTTGGGCTGTGAGGCTTTAGCGACCAGTATCGCACACGTGTATGACCAAATAGCTCATTGTGACGTCCGGATATGTTGGGAGTCGCCAGGTAAAGCAAAAATGACGAATGTTGGTCAGGGCGCATGACCTTGACTCTCCAGTTTAACTGCGATGGATTAACTGTGCCGGTGCGTGATTCGGAGATGTGGATGCATGTTGGCACTTACTACACTGCTCGTAGAGGTTTTCTGTGTCAACAGATGGTTCCCGTTGTGGTACTTATGACGATGCTTATGTCAGGAAAATCAAAACGGGAAAGCGGCTAGCTAAGGCAAGTAAAAGAGTTGCCTTCAATTATCGTGTAGAGGAAGCGTGGATCGTGTCAACAATTTTTAAATCCAAGGATGGCTGATGAGGTCAATTCGACAGCGCGAACCTGTTGACAGGAGTTGGTTCGCAGGATTATCGCCTTGCCGCAGTCTGCGCTCTGACCTACCGCATCCATTTGTCTTCGAATGTCACTGATCACATTTCAGGGCAGAACGCTGGGCATGCCGACGCTCGGCAAGAGTTCCTCAGGTCCCTTGGTTGAGTTCCACCTACTTGGGCTGGGTCCTCAGGGTGTCCTTTCATCGCTATTTTTGTCCACCTTGCGGGCGAAAAACCTTGGTGACGTCGCCGTGGTAGTCACCTGGTCGGGCGTTTGTCAATCACTGTCACGATGTAGCTGTTCTATTTCAGTATGACATGCTTTAGCAAAGCATTGATGGTGAGCTCGCACGTCCTTCCCAGAACCTGAGTGGCCTGGGTTCGTTTCTACCACCTCACCTTCAGGATCCCTCAAAGGCAGTTTAGGTTAAAAGTGAGCGAAGTTTCTGACTTGGCTTCCAATCCCAATTCCGTAAACTCTAAGACAGGAAGACTGCCACGTATAGCCCTAGGCTAGTGTTGAGGTGACTCAAAACTGAGTGTTACATCTTACCGAAAGCCCGACTAGTTTTGGACACTCACGGCACAACTGGGTCGTTGATTTTGCGGTTTTAGGAGACGATGCTTTAAAGGCACATAAAGTAGAGGCGTTTCTCATCGGTATTTGTTATGCACCTGTTATATTCGTCAATTATCGCCATTGGACACGTGGTCTTGATTGTGCCTAACAAACGGACAGTCCAAAACCCACCACCGGAGCCAAAGAAATCCCGGCTTTGCTACATGTTTACTTCGGTTGTGGTGCTCAGCGCGCAGTCGTCCGCAAAGAAAAGGTCCAGGACTTCAGCCGACACACTTTAGATTTCAGGTTGTAAAGTATTTTGTCTCAACAATCGGCAGGCGGATATCGTGGTGAGTAGTGGGGCTGTCCTAGAAGTACTGCGGGACTTGCCTATGTCTCTCCATCTACAACAGCGACGTCAAATTGCTGAAAAGTTGAGGGTCACCATGTTTGTTGACTTGTTTTGAATTCGAATCAGCGTCCGGATATTTCGCGGAGGATGTATGGTTAACTGCCTTAGTTGTTTTCTGTAGAGGGGCACGGTCAGCATAAGTCACCGGACTTCTAAAAGTACTTGTCCCAACACTACAAAATATGCAGCACGGCTGTGCACGGCTGAGCAGACGTGTAGTCTACCTGGGCTGTGGACCATAAAATGCCTTTACAGCCGCGACGAGGTGTCCAGATTCTTTGCAGTCTGCGTATTTGTGAATTTCTTCCATATGGAGTTCGCCAGAAATTCTGCATACCAATCACCCTATCGCACTTGACTTCGGCATCAAAATAATGCGGCTTTGTTTGTCCTACTCCTGCTTTCAGATAGGTCGTATGTAGTTTTGTTTTTTAGGATAAAAGATGCCGAATTTTTATCGTCGTTGTCGTCGAATCAGTCTTAGTTGTTGGGAGGAGGGTCAAGGGCCTTGAGTTTAGGTGTGCAGGCGTTCGTGATGAAGGCGATAAAAGGGTCGGCCGGACTCTAATTTACCACATCTGGGAACGTTCGCGACAAAGGCATAACCGGACAGTTCAATGATGACGGCCGGCAGCAATACATGGGAGAGGATGGCAATTGCCTAGCGATGTCGCTCTTTTATGCCGAAGGCAACTCCGGTCTCACCGCTCTCCCCTTGGAAGCCTGTGTCCAGTTCGTCCAATTGTCTTCGTTCGGAGAGTCCGTTCTTTCTAAGGAGCGCGGTATTCATCTTGTATCAATACACCCAGTAGATAACCAGAGGCGCCGTTCTGTATGGTTGGTTGACAAATGAATCAGCCAAAAAAACACGAGTATTCCGGGCGAAGAAAGTGAGCAAGGTCACACTTACGATCGCCGTTGGCAATGTAGACGGTGTGAGTCAGCATTTGTCTTCCCAAAGCACCGTTTTTGTCCCTTCAATCGCGAGGGGCAAGTAGTGCGCCTTTTAATAAGGGTGCGTCAACACTACGCACTTAATTCCATTATGACGACTGAACTGACCTGGATCGTAGGACTTTTCAAGGCGGACGAGTGGGGTGCGAGACAATAAAAGAGCTCACCGCGTGTGGTGACACATGCAGATGCACCGATTACTCTCATCCGGTCTAGCATAACCGTCAATGATAATCATTGGCTCCCAATCGTAAGGTCGAGTACATGCTCTCACTGGAGTCTCTAAGCGTTCAACGGGGAATTTGACTCACCGCTACCACAATAAGTAAACGGCACTTTTGGTTGACCAGTTGCTGGAATCGCTTCATAACAAATTACAGGAGAGGGACGCGCAAATGATTAACTTTGGCTGAAAAACAACATATTTACACAAAGCGGGACGGAGCCAAACACCCAGGGCAACTACGAAAATCTACCAGGAGGCATAACTAATGTAATAGGGAGCATTTCAAAAAAAAGGTGGAATTTTAAGAAAATTAAACCTACAGTCGCTGTGTAACAGTTCACATGCTCTTAAACGGTTGAGCATCACAGGCGCTCGAGACAGCCACGACCACTTGGGAAAGTAATGTGAGTTATTTGTCATAAGTAACGCTGGGGCCGGATGTACTACCCCAAAACACAGGTACGTTTTCACAGTCGAACTGGCACGGACTAGTGTCTGCATGTTAATGTTAGGAAAAACCTTCGATGCAACCACGTGGGACTAAGAAGGCCTATTTATTTTAGATGATCGCGCTGACAGGGCACTGTGTAAGAACGCATGGATTAGCCTCACGAAAAATGTGGCGTCGTCAAAGCAGGAATGTTGGTGAAATATTCAAAAGTGACGAATGGTACTGACTCAGAAGTGCAATCAAGAAGTCTTTTAAGGTCTGGTCGGTGCGTTAAATACACCAGAAAAGACAGAAATCTTACCCGGCATGTAGAAACAATGACAGATAGATGCGGTAAAGCTGGTCAGGCCGACCTTTCCGCAGAAAAGGCATCATTCCACACACCTCTTCTAGGCAGTTTACCTATTTGACAAAGAAGAGAAAGCTTATTGGAAATGTGTGTGTGTGAGCGAATCTTGTGCAAGAATAAAAATGATTCAGCAAAAGATTTCGAAGCAGTTATTCTGGGAGAAGGGATAAATAAATTCTTTGAGGGTGAGCTTTACTAAAAGGGCTGTCGGGATGCCAAAAACTCGCAAATCTAAAATTTCCGCAGAGTCACCCCTCACACTAGGTCGGTCGATCGGTACGTGACAGTGAGGAGCTAGATGGATAAAGGTAAACTACCACAACACTCCGTAGAAAACGCAAATATACCAAACTCGCTACTTGATTTGGCAAAGTAGCCTGCGACACTTATGATTCGCATCATAACGTCTGGAATCAATAACTGACAGTTAAGTAAAACGGTTTACGGGCCTGGGGTTCGTGCTTTTGGTCATTCTAACTGTCCCAACCCAAATATATTTTCATTCAACCTCCAGTATTGTTGACATTTGTTAATGTTGAGGGGATGCTGCGACATCTTGGGTACTTGTCATGAAGTAAACGATGTGGAAAAGTATAGGAGATAACCACCATACCATGGGATAGAAACGTAGACGGTTTCCTCATTTCTAACCATACAATCGTGTGACTGACGGAGACCAGCTAGCACCGAACTCTTAAAAAATCTCACGAAAGTTGCGGCCAGTTACATAAGACATGGTTAAAGTTGTATAAGGTTGACGTAATTTTGTCGGCCTGAAACTATCAAGAGTGGCTAAATAAGGAGAAAACTGGAATGGTGGCGATAACCTGAGAGCAAAGAGAGGCATCCGCGTGATACTGGCCGCGAAGGAAGGCGCAATGTGCAACTGTGGTGATAATGCACTCTCCTTTGACGCCCACACAACAGGGTCGAGCTATAACTTCGCACTGCATGTGTTCCGCGTAGCCACGTAAGAGGGAGACATTCACAGAGCGATGACAAATCTGCCAAGTGAAGAGCGTACAAAAAGGGGAAGAGACGGACTTGATAAAAATTGACAAATACATCTATGAATTACGTAAGCCTGGTAGTCATCTGGTGGATTCTAGGTGAATTACTTAGGAAATCCTGCCTGGGCAGTCAACTTACTGTATCAGATTTGGTGGATTCCAGACGTTGCGGTAGGTTGGGCGGGTAACTTGACCCAAATGTGAGTAAACTCGCGTCGTCCGGCGGGACCTTGTAGCTCAAGTGGTTAGAGCGTTGGCTGTACTAAAGCCTTCCCCTTACTGCGTGGGTTCGAATCCCACCGAGGCGCTGAGTTTTTCACAGTTGGGTCAATATGAATTATTCAAAATCTGCCAAAACATCTATGAAATACCTAAAGCTTGGCCAAACGCAGGAGAGTGTTGAGGGTTTGGTGCCAAGGCATTACACAGGAGAATAAAAACCTATTATGGTCGGAAGACGGAAATTTGGAAACCGCTATTTTGGCAACTGTATTACTACAGGGCATCGCAGGCGACTTTCCCCACCTCAGCCTACACTCCGTTTCGATATGCACTCTAACAGGATTTGTTCTCCAGCAAACTGGAGGAAAGCAGGCATAACGCATTTTATGGAGTCGTGCGTCAGTCTTTCAACCTCGCGTTGAGAAAGAGCAGTCCACTGAAAAGGAAACGAAAACGCCACAACTGTTGAATTTTCCCCCCGCCGGAGGAACTTTGCCGTGGCAAATCTTCCTCACTCAGCAAAGCAGACCTGAAGCATGAGGTTTATGAACGAGGCCCTAGCAAGACAAGAATTCCCTGCCGCGATGAGCACATGTAAAGTAGACGTATGACGGTGACTGTTGAGCAGAACGTACGAAAATATGTACACAAATGGAGATCGTGAACTGCGACAGCATCGAAAACTCGTTTACGAAAACAATTCACATTCAAACACTAGTTAACAGTCTTTGCCAATAAAAAAAACGACATGGTGAGGTTGGAATCTGGGCCCTGTGGTGAATAACAGAACGATCTGCCGATTACTCCACGTGAACCGCTAAATGAAGTCGCATCAGGAAAGTGTTGGAAAACTTGGCTAGAATGTCCGGAACAGAAGGGCTGCAGAGGTGGGGTAATAATCACTCGGCTTGGAATAACTGACACAAATTCGATGCTCTGAGGCCTGTACTAGGAGTCTGATGGTTAGGGCGTCCTCTGACAAGTGAAAGATGAGCGGCTCGGTTAGGCCAATCGCCGTCACCCTGAAGTCCTGATGTATTAAACATCTCATAGCAAGTGGGAGGCAGATTGAGCGCGGAGGAAGATTTAGACTGAGATCACAAGCGAAAGGCCATTATTACACATACTCGCACACGAAGGGAAATTAAGCAAACGAAAACGTACATTCCTTCACGTACGGGCCATTCAGTCACGTCGGTCTGGGACCAGGCAAAGGGACCGGTGGAGCGTGGCTCCTCGCAGAATTCCGGATCCAGCCCGCAAACGGGGCCTATTTTGGAAGGCGGCTGGTTCGAGAATTCCTCATTTCCCCTATCTTTGCGGCCATTCTTGCTCGTCGACTGATCAGTTATCGGCCAACGGGCGGCAAAATCAAGGGTTTGGTGACGCAACCAAGTTGAGGTGGTACGTGGACAAGTGAGTCGGCTAGTCTGGTGACAGCCCTCACCGTCATTTCGCACACAACACCCGCTCCTACGAAGGGAACCAAATTTGCCTCTTAGTTAAACAGCAGTTGCTACAAGTGATTGGTTCGCATCTTAACTGTTCAACAATAGAGGTGATTTAGTCAGCCCCCGTGTTAATAGCAAAATAAAACAGTCTCATTCATGTTCCATTGCAGTCAAGGAGACGCGAAAACGAACAAGGCGCGTATGACATGGGACGAAGAAAGAATGATGCCACAGGTAACCAATGCTGTAAAAACGACAAGTTTCGTGGCTCTTCTGAGAACGATAACACCGTGTTTTAATACAATGCAATCCTGTCGAGTCGGTGTGCAAAGAACAGATGGATCGCTGCCCAGATTGGTTACCCCCGTAAACAATGCAAAGAGTCATGACTGGTAGCGAACATGGTTATGACCATGACGGCCCTGCGTAACAGGGCGTTCAAGAAAGCTCAGTATTCTCAAGCTTGTTCAAAGCATAACAGTCCTTCAGTCGCAAAGAACCCAACAACCGCTGGTATAACACCGTAACGTTCGGCTGTCCAGCGTGGACAGCGAATGAGTCGTTGTTAGAGAAAACATTTCAGGGACTTCGCTTATTCGTCTAACCCACAACTAGTGCAAACCCAAGAACTGAAAACCAGTCAACACTTGTTAACCGTTCTGACCAGCTGAGATGAGACCAAATGCAGCGTACTTCCGGACTGAATCTCGTTGTCATCACTCAGTTAACATTGCCGATTCCTCGTGGTCATCTGCCAAAAGTGTCCGATTCTTATATCCTTTCTGCGAAAACCTGGTGTTTTGCATGGGGGCAAGGTCGTGTGTGGCAAGCACAGACAGGCCATTGAGCTATGTCAGCCACTTGCCCCCAAATCCAAGCATCAGATGGTTGACCGGCCCGGACAGCGGACTAGTGTCAGGGTGAGGGAAGAGAATGAGGTCGGCTCCGGGGACTCTGTCCCACGGCATTCTGCGCATATTCCCCGCAAGTAAAAATCTGTCGCGCCTAGAAACTACCAAGACGCACTTTAAGCCGTGGCCTGAAGAAGTACGAACTTATAGCATAAGTAGGTTGTTCCAGGGCGGCAATTCAGGCTGGAATGGCTCCTTCTTAACGTGACCTATGTGGGAACCTGGTCCATCGCCCGCGGACCAGGTCGTGTGTGGAACCCATGGACGGGCTGCCTAGTTTTGTTGGTCACTGCGGCCGAGCTCGCCTCCGGTCCTCCTGGCTCTGCCTTGCCACCGGGCCCAGGATGGGTGAGAAGGGGGGAGTGAGAGCAACAGATGCTGCACAGGCTGGCTATCACTATAAACTAATTCACGGGCAAGTAACCCTCCGGAGCTCGCCATTCTGTGCGGCACACGGTAGACATTGTCTGTCGCGACGGTCGAACTGGTCCGGCTCCTGTCATTAGAGATTGCGTTAATTCGGCTTGCACTATAAGTTTGGTCTTGAAAGTCTAAAAATACCACCAAATAGACTACAGGTTTACTTTGTAAATGCAGTAAAAAGCATCGTTGGATTGGCATAAGAGGAGAAATCCGTCATGACGGGCTGCGAAAAAGAGCGCCCGAGCGCAAAATGAGGCAGACGGGTAGTTCCATTCTCCCACAGCAAATTTCTATTAAATTGGTCCAGTTACAGTGTTGTTTTATTTGGATTTAACGTTTTTTTGAGTCCGTCCTGACCCAGGAGCTCACTTAGGGGCTGAGTAATCAAGTCAAGCACAATAACTATACCAAAATGAGTGGATGTAGTGGGTCCTTGATAAATGTTGAATTCTTGGCACTTACTTTCGGTCCCAAGTCTTCTGGGCATCAATGACAAGACTACGCAACTTCGTGTCAGTCCGCATGCAAGGTGAGTAGCGTGCACCGATACGAATGAGGTCAGCCTGACGAGGACCGACCCACAGGTTCTCATCCTCAATGCGGCAGACGCGCTCAACCACGAGGGAGGAGAGCAGGATTTCACCGGCTACCTCATGCTCCATGTTAAGGCCGACAGGCGCAAAGCCGTAGCCTGCACAAGCCACGATGAGAATCACTACTTGCACAAAGCTGACGAAGTAGGTGAAGTAGGGCCTAAAAGAGGAGCAGACCGTCTAATGGTGAAAAATGCTGTGATACAAAGTAGCGGGAAATCAAACTTTTGATGCATGCGAAAAGATAGTAGTTCAAAAGTAGATTCGATCATCCGACCAAGAGTTCCTTTGTGACATTTCGGATACACACCCGAGTCCATCTTCAGAAACTGAAGGCTAAAGAATAGAGATGTATGAAAATGCAGAATTTGCAGGTCGCGTCTGCTGCGCCGTCAGAGGCCAGAAAGTGTTTGATTCGTCCAGAACCGGTGTTGACAGTTGACGATGGTAACTTGACGGTTCTGCGCCGTCAAATTTTGTTTCGTTTTTTGTCTTACAATTGGCAGAGTTCTAATTACTTTGTTTGTGCTTCTTAGCTTCTTTTCACGAACCACTTTCGGTTCCTGCATTGTTCGAATTAATTTAAGGCGTATTGGGCAAAGCTAAAGGTGGGAAATAATTGCCTCAAGAAGGCTGTTCTTATTTTCAGAAGCTGCCCAAGAATATATGAAGAAAAGGCATTGAAAGGGCCTAACCTGTAGTCAAGCAGACTTTGATCGACACTTTGATAGATCATCTCAGTCTCCCGATTACGGGCTGGAAGGCAAGTCATTTTTCGTGTCCGGAATTTCCGATGCAATGTCCACCAGCCGGTAGTGCTGTCGGGTCTCTTGTTGGTGAAAGCGGTGGTTGCATTTGGCGTAGTCTTATCCGTAAAGTTGTCCCCCGGCCTCCAGGCGCGTGACGGAGGAGGGCGAGCGGGAGAAGCCTGTGCAGGCAGGAAAGGTGTCGCCTGGGGCGAAGTGGTCACTGAGGAGGAACTGCTTTTCAGGCGCTTCAGTCGCTTGTAAAAGAAGGGGGTTGCCGGCAATGAGGCGGTGGGCGGTAGACGCTCCTCGCTGCTGCTGCTGCGACCTTGTTTTCTGTTGCTGATGTTCACATCTATGACGGTGCCAACGCCCCGGGCCTTATCACGACACTGCTGTATGAAGGCCGCAAAACCCGGTGAGTAGGTCTCAATGTTCAGCGCCTGTAACGTGGGCGAGAAATACCCGTGTTCGAAGGCCCGCAAACTCTGCCTGTTGGTGTACGTGATACGAGGTGGCAAAATGGCGCTCGTAAACTGGGCAGATGGCGAAGGTACTGTGGTGGGACAGAGAGCTTGAGGAAAGTCGGGGGCAAAAGGAGCCGATTGAGAAGGAAGGGTTAGGGGCGGAGGACGTAGGGAATCTAGTCGAGAGAGAGGCGGAAGCTCAGACACTTCACTGGCCGGCACGGCCTTCGGTCTAAGAGGGACGGTGGTCTCCAATGAGGGCTCAGTCCTAACAAGCAGTGAGGCATGAGCCACAGATGGTTGACTCTCCATGTCAAAGTCTGCCAGCATGTCACCCAGGCGAGGACTCTGTGCACACCGAGAATGGCGCGAGCTCATGGTGGTTGTTGAGGAAGGAAAGAAGTAGCGTGGACGATGAGGTAAAGAGGTCGACCTGGTTTCTGAGATTACATTTTCCGCTGAGACGTAATTTGTGCGATGTGTAAGCCCTTCGTTAACAAAGTTACTGTTTGCGCGTGAGTCATGTCGCCGGAGGTGGACGGACGAGTTTTCCACTGTTTCGTGAAGGGACAACTTCTTTCGACCATGTCTCAGTTGAATTAGAGGAATATTGCTACACGTTGCTGCCACGTTGATGGGTCCGCGAGATCCCTCGTCGTCGACAGCAGGTGCGGCAGACTTCGGGGTGGGAATAACGGAGAGTTGTGGCAGAGAAAGGCCCGGAGTTTCGACTAGACCAACCCAGTTTTCCGCGTCAAAGGGGCTCCCATCAACTAGGGATGTCTGAGGCGGTGGAGAGTAGAGGGACCCAGCGGGAAGATGCAGAGCACCATTCTGAAACTTTTGAAAAAAACGAAGGATAAGGATTTATCCAGTAAAAGTATGGGAAAGTCGATTTGAATTAACATCTCAGGCTGTCAGGTAAACTTTTACAGGCAAAGAGTGGTCGGCGAAACAACGTCTCTTTCAACTTCTGAAATCCCAGCTGTTAATAGACTCATCAGTTGCGCGTGCCGACTGTGAAATAGATGTCTTGCATTTCGAAATAAGCTGATAGCGACACCTATGAAAACATATTTGCTAACGAAAAGGACTTTGTTGATTTCGGAATACGATCGCTATCATTTTCCCACATTAGTTTGAAGTTTGTGAGGATTAATTATTTAGTTTAAAATTGTTTCTTGGTTGATAATCCATGTTAATTAGACGATACTTTCACGGACTTTTAACTACCGAAGCAGTCAAATAGGTTCGTACCCTAGGTCTGTAATAGCTCATCACTGTCGACGAACACTACTGTAACTAGTTGATCCAGTTTTAGGGTCAGCGGCATCACGAGCCGGAGCGATTCAGGCTGACACCAGATGAGTACACGCCCGGTTTGTGTGTCAATGGAGTGCGTGACCAAATACCTGACGATTTTCCTCTTCACTGGCTGAGTAAAAAGGTGCTTTCTTGAGCAGCAAATAAAATCAACAGTGGGAAGGTGGTGCGTCAGCAGAAGCTGCAGCACTTTGCAGAAGTCTCTATGAACAAATACCTTTAACAGCCGTTTTATTAGATTTGAATAGTTCAGATAGTACAATTTAAAAACCTCGGCTGCCTGTTGGCAAGCATGAGGGGGCCCAGGCAGAGAAACTAGTCGACAGTCTCGTGCAAATGGTCTTCCAAGAGGACGTGCGACACGTCCATCAGGGTGAAATTGTTGTCAAATGCTTTGGTATTCACCATGTTTGGGCCTGTGCGAAAGTGCAGCCGACAGCAGACCAGGCCCTCCCAGTAGCTCGCAAACTGGCGCAAGATCGATTCATGTTTCAACATGAAAATGTATAGCTCCGTTTGGACGGCCCGGCGTCGAAGTGCTGTCCCAGGGTGCAGTTGACGAGGGCTGACAAGAGAACAGAACCGTGCGCAACACCAGCTGCGACGGTGATGTACTCGATCGTTCAGCCGCACGTTCGACAAGCAGAAAACAGCACTGTTTAATGACTGAGAGTAAGTGAGCTGCATAGCCTAAAGATTCTAAAATTCCTCAGAAAATATCGGCACAACTCTTGTACATCTCGGTCGACAGTATGTAGGCACCCAGGGCTTTGTTACTTTAGAGACATTGAACTACCTCTCGGCTGTGGAGTGAGATGGCAGAACAGAATCCCAGACACGGAAGTCTCCGGGCTAGATCGGAATCTTTAGCATCCACGCCATGCTGAGACAACTGCAACTGCGATGGAGCGGCCATCTGGTGAGAATGGACGACGCTCGCCTACCAAAACAATTCTTCTATGGAGATGTCACCACGGGTGCTAGTCGACCGGGAGGATCAAAACGACGCTACAAGGACACTTTGAAGAATTCTCTTATGAGATTGCAAATCAACCCAGAGACCTGAGAGAAGCTCGTCCAGAACAGACCGGCCTGTATAAGAGAAGACTGGCGCAGCCAGCTACGAGGCACACCAGATCGCCGCCGCCAAAGCCAAAAGGGCTGCTCGCAAGTCTCAGTCGCCTCTGATTCGCAGCATCGCCCCTCAAACCCCGCCCAACTTGCCAGCGCTGTCAACGAACATTTCTGCGCGAATCGGCCCCGCCGGTCATCTTCGGACTCAATGCACCAACCGCCGGACGACCGCAACTGCTGCCTCCGCGACCGCCCCTCTCCCAACCTCCACATCTACCATGTAGGCGCCCACATTCACCAACGTTGCCTCGAATCTCCATGCCGCACTGCTGTCTACCACTACCACCTCCATAACCTCTGCCACAATTACCGCGGTATCGACGAACACAACCACCTCCAACGACCAAAACGCTCCTGACGGCCCGACAACCACTAACACATTCACCATCAGCATCCCAATCTCCAGCGACCACGTGGACTCAGTCCCAACCTGTCCTCATTGCGACTGCACATCCACCTTACACATCAGCCTAGCCGGTCACTTGTGAATCCACCGCACGGAGACTGGCGAACCAGCGCCTGGAGCACCAACTTATACCAGGCGCACTCGTCTTCACAGCCCGAATGACCCTCACATACTCAGCCATTGCGTAGGCTTTTTCGGTCACATGCTCATTCATGAAAACCCGTGGTTGATCACCGCAGACACAACAACATCACCCCACATTCTCCCACCAAGACATTCACCACGCACACAACCCTCCGAAACCCCGCAACAACGGCACCTCTCGCGGATGTGGCATGTTTCTCGGTTTTTTCCCTCTGTGGCCCATCTGCTGAACGTTTGACCCGAGGCTGAGACTGTCACGGTGAGCCAAGTTCCGTGGCTCGAAAGGTTGCCAACTGACGTGATAGCTTTGACCTCACAGGCAGCCCAGTGTGTTTTTGTGAGGTGACGGACCTGTGGTCTGAGTCAGGCTGCAATGGTTCCTTCTCAATGTGACCTTTATGGCACTCCCACCTAGTGGAATCCGAGCCGGGTGTGGCGGCACTCCTGGGGGCGCCTTCGGCCGTGCCAGCCGTCGCTCTTCTTGTCGGTTAAAATCCTGGTCAAGTGCTTATTGTGAATCAGCGGGTACGGTGGTACCCCTAGGTGCGGGTCCAACCGCGCCAACCACCTGCGCCCTCTCTCGCATTCGGCCTTCCCAACGATGACGGAAGGAGGGCGGAGGAGGAGGAGGGGGAGGAGTGCAACAGATGCTGTTCAATTCTACTACCACTATAAGCTGGTTTACGCACAAGTCACCATGCCTGCTCCCTCTCTCTGCTGTGGAGCACAGGTGGACATCATCAGTCACGACGGTCGAACTGTTGCTCAGTTACAATCATAGGGAGACTGATGGAGGTGTTACATTATGTTCGGAGGTGACGGGTTAAACAGCTTAGCGAGGCATTCTTGCCAGTGTGGAAACATTTTACTCAATGAGGTTATTTGGAGACCCGCCCCGTTTTGGCGCGCGGACCAACTCCGGCGAGGAACATGCTTTCGTGAAAATTGGACTTGGAGATGTGTCAGGACACAGTGACCCGGTATATTCCAGATAAACGAACTTCACAACACATGGCACATCTCACTCTATAAATGAAGCAAGACAGTCCCTACACTACAGAATAAGCGGCTTATTGCATCCGTTTTTGGAGCAAGGTAAGCAGATTCACGCATAGGATCGCGGCTATGACGCATCAACAATTGATTCTAGCTGTCTGATGGCCAAAGCCTGCAGGGTGGAAGGTTGAAGTGACCCAGAATAAACAGTATTTCTGCTTTTTCGGCAGCTTCCGGCAGATAGGCCACGAACTTCGACTTCCGAGACTTCAATTCAGACCTATATTAGGCGAATATCGGGGAGTTTCCAACCATCGCCGTATTTGATGTCGGGACGTCCGTTGCACTGCTGATTGGCACTGCAGAGAGCATTAGGTGGAAAACTACTTGCATAAGTACGCAGCCGTATTTTCCCCATTCGTCATAGTAGAAACGTCCAACTTGAAGTTGTTGCTGATAAGATGGACCCCCTTGCTATCGTGGAGCAGTCTTATTATATTTGTGAATTTTGCTTGAAATCTGCTCATTTTTGGTAATTTTTCACTCTCCTTGGTTAGATGTATAGAAGACCTCTACCAGGTCGATATGAGCAACACTGAGGCTTAATCGTCCTCACAGACATTTCGTATGGCAAAAACACCCTGACATGACTTTTCCGGCTGGAGTTTCTCCTCTAGGTGTGGTGTTAGGCAATTTTGTAGGACGTATGCGAAAATCGTCCGAGCGGTGTAGTCGGGACACTCCCGATGGTGTTTGAAGCTTCGCGGTTTACGGTTGCAAGGCTAAAGACTGGTGGCGTCGGTAAAGTGCCGTGGGATTCGTTCTTGATTTCTTATCGCTTGAAGCAGTCAAGAAACCATCTCTGGTGTGTGCTAGTTTATGCAGCAAACACAACGATGACAGTCATTACTTCCAGAGGAGGGAGAACGTTAGCCTGCACGTGACACATGTGCGCAGCAACACGCTCACTCTTCCTCAACCCCCATGCTACAACGGCAAGATGAATGGTGACGGGTATGGTCTAGGCAGTTGACCTGGCGTCTGTCGACCTACAGAAAGCATCGCTGCTCACTCGTCTTTAACCGACCAGGTCCCATGCAGACATTTCCTGGCATCGGACAAGTACACTGGCTCACCCTTATCTGATTTCTCCTGCCACTCAAAACAGTTCCAGAGGTGAAGAAGAAGAGTAGAGCACCGGAACACTTCGTTTATTATCCTGAGCTTTCAGACACGTACAGGAGTCCATCGTCAGAGGTAGTGGCAGAAACAGGACAAGCGGCAGTTATAAGGCACGTAGGCCCAATCATCGACCGACGTCGCACGACTGGAAGTGACTAAGCAGGACTTTGTACGCCGGCGCCAGATCGATAAAACGATTGACCGAGTTCTCATCCAAGGCCCAGGATTCAATCAATTCCCGGCCTGTTTTGTTTCCGGCGTGGGCGACTATTTTGGTGGAATGGCTGCGCTCAACGTAGACGCGCGGAACCATGGATGACAGCTGGGTGCCCCATGAGCTCGGACAGGAATAAGCATCTCATGCGGGCATTCGGGACGACCGTCGATCCGACAAAGTGGCTTCCCCTCCCTGCCTGGCACCCAGTACAACCCTAATAATTCCAGTATGTACAAACACACAGAAACCAAGTGGCATGGTTTCCTTAAGAAAACATATCTGTGGTCTTACTGGACTGGCGTTGATACGTCGTTTGCGTCGCGCGGCAGACAGGCGTACCACCTTACCAAGGGCTTTGAGGGCGCTGTTACGACGAGTAATTACACACGGCGATAGGGGGGCCGGGGTGCCCAACTGGGTCAGTAAGCTTACCTGAGAGAAGAGAATGAAAAGAAAAAGTACAAGGCAGGAATAAGTACCAGAGTTTCACTGACGTCTAAATAACGCAGCAGGGGAAGTGTAAGGCTTTGTCTGATTTCCATTCAAAACTCACTCCGTAACAACGTCTTCTGCCATAAAAAGCTATATAAGTGCAGCCCCAACTAAGATTGGGTAAGTGTGTTAATTCAGGTTTTGGTAAGGCCAAGAGTTGCGTCCACTTGTAGATTACACAGCGGACCTCGCCAAACCAGTACTTAGGCTACTGCAGAGAACTTACAATAAGGCATTATAAGCAAATTAGTAATAAAACCCCTCGCGCTTTGGGTCTGAAAATGGGAAAAACCAAGGCCATAGAAGGTATAGGGTAGGTGGAGCAGCTTTTGTGACCAAGTAAAAGATCGAGAGAAGCTAGATGACCAATCGGTCCTTCTGTCCTCCGCAGAGGCCGAAGTTTTAAGGAAGGAACGATGAGTCTTAAACTAAAACTTGCAGATCCACATCAGACTAAATAAGTTTGCTAAACTTATTACCTAAAAAAGCTCCTCAAGCAATAATGGAGGCGACTGTGTCGTCATGGGAAATATCAGACTTCCGCTGTCCAATGGCATGGGGACGGGGTTCACCGGCCTACCTTACTGCAAGACGAGCTGTTGACTTTGCGTTCTGTCCGATGACGGACAATGTACGAGTATGTGGCCTAAATGGTACAGCGTCTGGCTGAATGGCTAAATCGGACCCAAACCTCCGATCCGTCCAATCTGTGGCTGGGGTATGGTTGGTTGACGACAGGAATATGCCGGCACGGTCATTTCAGGCTATTTTTTGGTAATGCTTTTCGATTTTACTCACGGACACTTCGACAAATTCTAGATTGCTGCTGTCCAAAAGGGCCTCTACTATAACGTTTGATACTGAAGACCGTATCTGGCTGGATGGTAGCAGGCTTTTGAGAAGATAGACATAAAAAAGGAGAACAAACCTGCCTTCCTAGTGTAGGTCGACCAGTTGGGGCCCCTTCGAAGTTAGTGTTCGGGGGGTCGCCTCCAAGAGACTAGAAATTCAAAATCACGCAGCGCAACAATAAGTGCGTTGAGAACAAAAAACAGTACAAGATTTTGACGAAAGCCGCAAGGGTGAGTTCAAGCGGACCTGTACGAAGGACGACTTATAACAAAGTAGACAGGGATGCAACAACTCCGTGGATAAGTGGTCGGCGGAGCAATTTAAACCACAAGCTTTCAAAAAAACGAATGGTAAGAAGGCATGGGGTTGTCTTTTTATCGTTTACTGATCTGAAGGGGAAGAAACAGCACTAAGCCTCCGAAATCAATCCTAATTAGAAGAACGCAAAGATGATGGAATTCCGCGAGGTTTGGAATGACATTCGCAGAGGTATTATGTATTGATTAGCAAGTGCCCTAGCATTCGAAGACTAATGCCGCACAAGCAGTGAAACAAAGGGGTGACTTAGTGAAAGTATTCGAAGACATAAGATTGCGATCCCAATTATCGTTCGCTGATGACGAACGACCGTTCCATTAACTCTGACCAGAACTCACCTCTAAAATTTTGATGTTTCTCGTCACTGTCATGTAAATTCGAACCGTTAAGGTTGTGCGACAATACCCATGTGGGCATTCAGGAAGTCAAATCTGGCCACTGTCAACTTTCACTGCTTTAGCGTCTCGCTTATATTACTGTACAGGCCTAATGATGAATAATGTCAAACATATGTCCGCCGAATTCGACTTCACAAACGCAATTTGTTCCGTACACGATGAGCAACATAAACAAAAGAGGTGAATTTTTGGCTAGAAAAAAACAAGTTCGCAAATGAAGAAGTATGAGGGGAAGAGTGCAAAGAGAATTACGCAAGAGGACAAATTGAACCAATCGACGACTCCACGCGAAAGATTTTGACGGAAAAAACGATCAATGACAGCTGAATCAATACTGAAGCGAACGAGGACAACCAGCGGCACGCACTTGCTTCTGGTCGGTTGTATTGAAACAATTTTTTCATTTTCCTATGTTTACAGTGTGTTCAGTTGAATCGGCGACCTTAGAGCAGGGGGTTTTCCTGTTAGCATGCGCTAACCTAGTAAAATACTTGCGTGTGCGCCGGATCTGACCTTGATAGTGACACACAATCAGTCGTCTTGATACGATCTGGATAAGTGAACTACTGAGTGGTATAATTGATAGCTAATTTTAGCGAAATTCATATGCTGTTATTCTTGTACACGGACCTGGGCGTGAATCAGCCCCCAACTATAACTCATGGCACCTCAACAATATGAGACCGGTACGATCTCCTTGGCCCAAAATTCTTTCGTCTCCCGTCCTTTTGGACGCAGAGAAGTGCCAAACGAAGTGTATTTGGGCCAGCACGTAATCAGAGCCCTTGACTTCCCGCCTCGGCTACTTGAAGAACGCTGTCGTGACTCCAGAGTAAGGAATTTGAACTTCTAAGAACTAGTAGATTTGACTCGAGGAAGCTCGGGCAGTTAGTCGGTAGGTGGCTTTGCAAGCGTTGAACTTTTTGTGGTTTTAGTTGCCAAGGTACAATCGTGACCTGTGAAGTCCAACAGTCGTGCGACCTTTCCGCGCCGCATACAAAGGCGGGAGCGACTAATATAGCGTCTGTGGGAAGGGACATCAGGCATATCTCGGCCGCTCCTGGCACCGGCCAGGATAGACATGCCGCAGGGAAGAAGACGACTGATTTCTGGTAGTTGTTGGCAAAACAGCTCTTTTGTTCAGATGTCAAAAGTCTGAGCAGAGACATAGGCAGAAATAGTCGGGACATAGAAGTAGTCTCTTTGAGGTGTCTTTGAAAATCGACACAAAGCAATAAGACTGTATCCGTCAGACGAGGTCTTAAGGTTGATTTGATAAAAAGAAGATACTTCGATAGACATTGAACTCAGATCCCATACGACAGAAGTCGGGAAAACGAACTCTGGACAAACAACCTACAGTAGATGTGTTAACTCATGAAAAGTCAACCAAAATTTCGAAATGTGTTCTCGTTTCGAAAAGATAAATTAAGTAGTGTTGTAAAATTAATCATGATGCAGTTACCACAGGGTGTCGGCTTTCGAAAAAAACTTATTTTCGGCTGCATGCAAGATCTACACTCTGCAAAAAATGACTACTTAAGTAGCATGCAATTTTCTCATTGATTTTCGATGTCCTTGAAAATTCAATTATAGTTCATGGAAAACATGCATAAAAATATTCATTCTTTTACTCATTCGGTAGAAAATCACGTCTTCTTCCAATTTCATACTCAAAAGAAGAGTATAATTTGGCTTTAAAAAACTTTTCTAATTCCCGAATAATTTTGAACCCGACCTGATGTTACACTTGCATTCAGGGTTTCAAAACCACAAGCTGTATATTTTCCGTGTACGGAAAACCATGCATTTCTCTACGGTGTTAAGAGGAGACCATATGAGGTTCATAAAATTAAGCAGTGGATTTGAGCAATATTGTTAACTTTAAAAGCCACATTCGTAAATGCAGATACATGACTTTTCATGAACGGCCATTTAACGGTATTAAAAAATCTCACAATAAGAAACTTTTTTTAAAACCGACTTATACTCTTCTTTTGAGTATGAAATTAGAAGAAGACGTGATTTTCTACCGAACATGTAAAAGAATGAATATTTTTATGCATGTTTTCCATGAAATATAATTGAATTTTCAAGGGCATCGAAAGTCGATGAGAAAATTGCATGCTACTTAAGTAGTCATTTTGCAGAGTATAGATCTTGCATGCAGCCGAAAATACGTTCTTTCGAAAGCCGACACCCTGAGGTAACTGGATCATCATAGATTTATGCTGCATCATGATTAATTTTACAACACTACTTAATTTATCTTTTCGAAACGAGAACGCATTTCGAAATTTTGGTTGACATTTCATGAGTTAGTACATCTACTGTACACCTACGTACCAGCAGTGATCAACGGCCACTAGACTGAAAAGGCGCCTTCACTTTTCAGGAACCGATGTAAACGGTTCTCCTTGTGACAATTAATTTAACTTGTCCATTGTTTGCTGAACCGCCGGACCAAGTGAGCATGCGTCCCGGCAGACAGACTGGCATTAGACGCGTGCAGCGCTGAGATGCATCCCAAGGAGGGGTGTGGGGGTCCGTAAACAGACGGGTCGTCAACAGTCCATTCGGGTGCTTTTTAGAGGCTGGCTCTCTAAGTACTCTGCTTCATCGGAAACCGGCGATAAGATGGTGCTGGGTTGGAGTTCTTTTGAATGGCGGACATCAACCGCTATTTTGTAATGCTGTTGTGAAGAAGTAGCCATTAAATAAGCAATCAGTTTGCCAGGGCCACTCCCACGTACACTCCACCCTGGCTGCCCAGATCTTTTGATCATTCATTTTGAAACAATCGCAATAACAGCTTCAAAAGTGGTCGACCTAGTACTGCAATCTAAAGTGATATGACACGGTTATTCCACTCAGTGGATATATGAATTATTATTTATCAATTAGTGACGAAATATCTTGGCCAGCTGTGTATGTTTGCTTAGTGCTATGTTAAGAACACCGTTCTGTTCAGGCATATATTACAATTCACTCTGGCTACTGGTGGGCGTTCGATCAGCCTGCCAACGCTTTGAAATAGAGCAGATATTGACTTTTGGTGAAGAAAATAAGGATTCAAACTGCATCACATATTTGACGTAGGCGTATATCGAGTATACATAAGCCTATGCCACGATTTTTTTCAGTTTCCGAAGATGGCTGCTACAGAAGTCCGAGAGCTTAGACAAATTAACTGACTGTCCCGGTGACCTAAGTCTGGGTGACAGGTTGGTTACTTTAAGACAGGTGAGTAGTTTATAATTTGTTCTAAAGTGTGACAAATTAACAGAATCCTGTGCTTACAAAACGTCAGTGCTCATAGCCCAATGAATCCAGGCAAACAGAGTATTGGTTTGTTAGAGAAAAAAGTGGAGATCAAAATGTGAGGCTAAAGCAACACTTACCGAGACTAGTTTTGCTGGTTTTATATTACCATACTTTTTTAGCAAGTACCTGAGACGTCGGGAATTCCAATCCTCTTGACTTTTGTCAACACTCAGGCCGAAGAAGGTCATGGCAGAATCACGAATCTGCTGCAAAATAGACGGCCTAATGAGGAATTAGAACAAATGAAAAGAAAGAAACCTCGGCTCTTGGAAACTGGGACCACACTCAGGCGGCGCTGATGAGGACCGTCTTATGTACTGAACACGACTGGTATCTTTCGACATACCAACCGAATGTCTTTGGTGTTGGAGACTTGACTATTGTGCTAATCTCCGCCTGAAAATGAATTAGCGCAGACATGAAAACATTTAGCAAGAAAAAAGTACGATAAAAATGAACACGAATGACGATCTTACGGAAACATTTCTGACCAGGAGATCCGTTCGAACGGTGAGATTCATGTAAAACATTGTGTCAGGTGTGGCCCGGAACACCGGCTCGAGTTATTTTAAACGACAGAACCGATCATATAAGAACGCTATTAGGTACCGATGCGAGCAGCCACTACCATTTGAGAGTCACACGCGGGCAGGGATAGGGCAGTCAAGCAAATACTGGATAGACGACACGGAAGTCTTGAAGTTCTTTTATTACAGATATAAAATAAGTTGGTATAACCAACCTACCACTTTTCGATCTATCAAACTTTTGACGACGAAAAATTGCGGGGCTTTGTCGACCTAAGAAACACAGAGATGACTATGTAGCAGTACAAAGGCATGGAACAGATCACTCAACAACAGAACCATGATCATACTGCTTCCCTGGTGGCAAGTTTGGAAATGCGGAATCCTCAGAAGACAATGCTCGTTTCGACAGCAACTATGGCTAGCCCAGGAAGTAGTTAGTATCACGACGACCTCGAATGTCATCAGGAGTGAAATTAAAAGATGAGCGATAAAAAATGCCGCTAAACAACCTTAGGCGTTTCTCCTAGTTGATCCAATATATTCTTGTAGGGATCCCTGACCATCCAAATGGAAAAAAAGTCTGTGTACTACAACCGAAATATATTCTCAAAGTTGTTTAAAAGCCTCCAGTTATTGTTTTCTTTGCGTGCGTACAGCACAGTATTCACAATCGCAGAGATCTGAAGAGAGGTGTGTCCAATAAACGAAGACGTCTTTGACAGTCAAGATATCGTGGCTTATCCACTGACCTAGGCGATATGCGACCACCAGAAGAGCAAAATTTACTGGATACAGATTAACCTTGAGCGAATGTGCAATGGCGTGGGTCTGAGTGCCATTCTCAACTTGTAGCAGCCGCTCCAGTCCCCCTTTTCTCCGGCTCCGTTTTGTCGGTCGATGGCCGCGACAAGCGTTGACAAGCCGCTGACACACGACCACCCACACCGGCTAGAATTGAAGCTCCACCTGTCCAGCTGCAGTGACTCCAGGCTGCCCTCACAAATTAGTATCGCATCACGCGCGTCGAGCTCTCTGGCTTGATACCCGTGAGGCCTTGTGAGCATGCGCCCTCCATTCCTCCCCTAATTTGTCCAATCACACGACCAACACTCGGACAATCCCCCCCTCCTGCTGACCCAGACACTCACACCCGCGTAAACAACACACTGCGACTGACGCTCTCCGTGAACGGACGCTTATCTCTGTTGCAAGCAAACAGCCAACTTACGGCAACCTGCCCTGCGTACAGAATAAACTATTCCTCACAGCTCCCTGACTGCTGACATTAGACGAAACGAACTTATTGTGCGTGGTTTAAGTTGATCCCACATCCTTGACCGCCACAAACTTTCCAATTAAAACGGAGTTTTTGGATTACTGTAGAAGACAGATAACTCGGTCGCTTAAAGAAATGTATCCTGAAATTATAAAATTAGCAGATAGAGATAACAGATGGATTATTATGAGAATCGTTGTCAGAAGACCGGACGGTGACAATAACAGGCACCCTGTAGGCATGGGAGGCTAATCTAGTCCCACAGATAACAACACGCATCTTCACCACGTTCATGTCGGTTGACTTCTTCGGCCAATTAAACTTCTGCGGCCTTACCCGCATACGTCGCTGAACAGGTACTAAATAAATAGGTATTTGACTGCACTCAAGCGATGTCAGAGCGCCATTACCATAAATGTCCTTCGTAGGGAAGTACGAGATAGAGGCTGATGAAGTTGAGTAGGAACCCCCCCCCCCCTTTTAGCTACTTGGTTCCGTAAATGTTAATGCTCCCATATTCGTTCCTACTTGTTACTGAAGCTTTTTTACCCTTTGAAAGAGCGGCGTTGTACAGCCGCGGTAGTTTGCCGTCGATAGATCTCTATGACGAATGACGATCTGACCTCTGTTAGTCGCTTTTCCGTATATGGTGTGAAATTAACCACTCCGTCTCTGAATGACGAAAGTCAGGCAGGAGCAATTGCTAGGTCCTCTTGAGGACAAACAATACAGGGTCATCATAGCTTTTGCACCTTCCACCATAGATATGAAATATAAGAGATACGATGGAGCAGATTGCTGCAGGGTTCGATGTTTCGTTCATCGTCCGACAAGTACGGTGAGTATCAGAGTCATTCAGGTGAAGAACTAAATAAGCACATTTGAGCGATCTGGGTAGTTTATCAGATTCCGTGTCAGGATTTTACTTGTCAATATGCAAATCAGACATCACGACGACTCGGATCACGAATATGCGAGCATACATGGGCCGTTTAAGGAGGCGCATCGCTGCCCACAGTCGTTACCCCACATTCTGGAGGGAAGCCATGAATTTGGTCTTGCGGGAACGCAGCCGATGGCGATGGTTGCTAGGAGCACAGGTATCTTGTACGAAATCTATAAACAGATAAGTCGATTTACCATCCTCACATCACACATTACGCCCATGGGATCAGATACCAAGGACGCATGCGACCACCACTTTGAGAGAAAATGTTCAAAAAGTAGCCCTAATTCAGCCCCAGCCTCCTTCCATTATACTTGTTCGCGGGTCATTCATAGGCAAGGCTGCCTTCTTTACTATCTAGAAGGTGCACGCGGGTGAATTGCAATTGGCTAGTGCGGATGTCTATCCATTGTGTATCGTTAGACAAACCGTTACTTTTTGGGTTGAAGTGAACGATATACCGCAAGTGAGTTAAGTACACCCGAATAAAACGTTTATGCGCATGAATTTGTCTCACAGAGGCAGGGACGGCAATAGCTGTAGTACTTATTCATAACGTTGTAATAACACATAAAACAGGGATTCTTTTATAGAAGTTGAAAAATTCTAAAATCAAAATATTATCGAAAGATAGCAGGCCAAAGTCCAGGGTCGGGCTTCTTATAACAGTGTACCAACCTAAAATTAGCCCTGCGCTAGCAGGTTGGATGCGTAAATTTGTGTGCAAATAGTGATTTTATTAGCTGATTGGCCGCGACCTGCGCAAACAACTCTGCCCTACTGCCACGCCCGTCTGTCGACCTTATCTCCATTATGTGCGGACCAGGCGTAAGTGGCACGCGCAGACTGGCTGTTTAGCTTTTTCGGTCAATGCGCACGATCCTGTCTCCGGTATTTTTGACCCTGTCTTGACACCAGGCGCGAGATGGTGAGAGAAGAGAGTTTAGTAGATGCAGAACAAGTCCACTACCACCGTACCCTGCTAAATATGCATGTTACCATCCCTGCGCCCATCCTGCTGCGAAGAACACTCTGGATATCATCGGCAACGACGGTCTAATTGTCCTTCTGTCGTCCATTCTTTCTAACTATGTCACTGACAGGATTCTTAGAGCGGCCCTACATAAAATTGATGATGTTGGGATTGCACCCAGACGTCGGCCTACTGGTCGCGACCACGTTGATGATTTCGCCTTGTCAGCATCAAGTATTGGTGAATAACAATCTATGGCGTCAGGGGTGAATGAGTTGCTGAATGCGTAGGCTTATCCATAAAAGATAGAAAAACCGAAGTGTTTTCAAGCTGCACCCAGAACCGGGAGAAGGCACCCGCTGAGATTAATGGTTCCCAAATATACCTAAATACCTATGGGCGAGACTGCCGCTCAGTGGAAAATGTAGAGACAACACTGTCTCCCGAATCGATTTTGTTCACCGGGATTTCTCAAGCCTCAGGAAATTTATCTGGATCCAACGCGACATCTCCAAGGCCATAAAGATCCGCGTGTAGAGGTGATCCGTCCGGTCAGCTTTTCTCTACGATTATGAATGCTAGGCTGTGCGAGTGGAAGACGAGTGAAAACTGGAGGTATTTCATCATGGCTGCTTTGGAATTACCCTTCGAGTAAATTACACCGACCCTGTCTTAAATAAGGGTCCGCATTCGCGAGGATATCTCAAGCCATCCAAAAAGACGACTAAGATGGTGTGAGCACGTTCTCCGTCGTCTGCCTCATGAACTCAATCCTGCTGCTGCTGATCCAGCGCCACTGCCCACTAGGAAGCGTGGAAAAGGCAGTTAACTCAAAACCCGGCGTGACAAGTTTCATCAAGAGACAGAAGAGCCTCTTAGACATCCAGTATTCGGTCTCTATCGTTGGGCCATCTGGATCCGATGTCGCAGATCGTTACGCGTAGAGGTAGAATCTATGGAATCATCGAGGGCGGCTAGACCAGAGATGGTCGCAGCTGTACCGAGTAGCAGGAAGCAGGAACTTCTGACAAGAGTCGGTGAATCATAAAACTGGTCGCAGAGTAGCAGTCGGAGTTAGCCGTGGACGAGTATGCAGATGTTAGGGGACTGAAATATACAGTAATACTGAAAACCCTTAAATTTCAACGACTCCTATCATCGACTCTGTGATTCCTTTATTCCCATACTAGAATGCACGAACCGCCTCTGCGTCATGAAACTCGATATCTCTGCGTACAAAAGTGAGTAATCAAAATGCAAAGCTACCTACGGTAGACCAATCCTAGAAAATAACCGTCTCAATTTTGGTAATTTCTACACACTAAAAATGTAGTCAATTTTGCAGAGTTTCCAACGGCTGCACTTTCGTTATTATATGACATTCAAAATTTCATTCATCGACTTTTTTATAAGTCGTTCGAACATAAAATACCTCCGTTCCCTCATATTACACAAAACAAAACATGGACATTTAAGCTTTGACATACAATCGGATTCGTGTCTAATATTTTATTATTCTCTTCGTATACAGGCATTATACGATAAGTGAAGTTTGAATCACGACTACTGACAAAACCGCCGACTTGTGACTGAGCGTACTGCCCATAACTACGTTAAAT